GGGCTAGCTGCCCGCACTGGGTGAATAGTCCCTGAAGAGAAGCACAACTGGGAAACTCAGGACTTATATGGCAAAATATTTATTATAAGCCAAATTTCCATTGAAGTCAGTGGAGCTAATCCAGTGCACTTCAGTGAGGGATTGAGACCTCCTTGTTTTGCATGGCTTATATCTAGAATAAAAATACAGCTGCTGAAGGGTGATGTTTGCTGTACTTTTCTCAGATGAATCCTGGCTGGTAACTATATTTATTCCTGCAACATAATTGCTGCTAATCTTGGGGTAGAAAGAGAAGTTTCAAAGCAGCTTTTATTTTTAAAAATTACGATATCTGTACACAATGTTACAGATTTAGTTTAGTAGCATTGAGTCAGAGTTTAATTCTGTTTTACCATGTATGCACAAGGAAACTTTCACAGAGGGGACAGGTGGTGCAGTAATACAAGCAAAGGATTATTTTTAGGTATTATTGGTAATACGGCAGGACAAGTTCATATTTATAAAAGATGTGGTTCGTTGCTTTTGTAATCGATGTGCTGGAGAACAAGCCTAAATGCCAGTTTTTCAGAAGACCTCAGCACCCATACAGGCAACTCAAGTAAGCGGAGACATAAGGAGCTCAGCGTGTTGGGCATCACTTCTGAATTACGTGCCTAAATGGAAAAGAGCTGTTTAGAAAATCTGACCCCGGTGACATACGTGATGTGTTGATGTCTCTAAATAGCTCTCAGTAGGTGGAAATGCTGGGAAACGGGGAGAACTTCTGATCATTCCACCTTGGACAGGGTTTTTTTTTTTCCTTTTCTATGTCTATTTAAAAAAGAAATGGGCAAAAGTTTCTTTTGTTTCTCTAGGCCTGGGTCACAGCATCTTAGTATGGGTGTGTATGAGCTCTGATGTTTCTCAGAGGAGGATAAAGCTACTTTTGAGGGACCATCCTCAAACCAAGCCACCTTCCTAAGCAATAAGCCTAACTGACGCGACAACAAAGGAACCGTGAGGGTTACTCTTGTTAATGAAGCTCCAAATAATATACTAATAAAACACAGTGGTGCCTTTTCACTAGGCTAGTGCATTAAACCAAGACATGTGGCTTCTGTAGTTCGATGGTAAGCAGACTGAAGAATATTGGCGTATCCTTCTAAACTGTAGGCCTTGATCCAGCAAAGCATTTAATCAGATGTATAACTTTAGGAATGGAATAGCCTTGTAACATTAAGCATGTGAAATCAATGCAGTTACCCACGTGCTTTAAAACTGCATGAGCATGAAGCTTTGGTTGGACTGGACCTTAGTCTTGGTCACAGTTCCACCTCCTGGTGAACAGGGGGCAAGACTTTATAAAGTGGCTAATGGTTTGGGATGCCTCAGTTTTTGGGCACCTCAGTGGACTTACCTAATGGGGTCCCTTTTCCAGGAGTAGCTGCTCAGATGTTTGGGAAATCAAATTGCTTTAAAGCTGGGCCCCTGAAAGTTAATGCATCTGAAAACTCTTGTTAGAGTTGGAAATCTTATCCCAATGCTCTGCTTCTGTTCTTACTTGTTCCAGAATGAACTGAGATCAGAAGCCGACCCATGTCTGAGACTGGAAAGACATAACTATCTTATCTGGTCAAGCTGATTTTAAAATGGTCTCAGTCTCTTGCTACTGATAACCAGTCTCTTCTGTATTCTATTACTAGGGTAAGAGGCTGATTTAGAGCCAGTAGTTCAGGAGCGGGCAATTATTTTTGGGAAGAAGGCCGCTTACTGAGTTTTGGCAAGCCATCGAGGGCCACATGACAGGCAGCCCAGGGCAGATAAATATTAATTTTCTAAATTTTTGAGGGGCCCCGTGGGCCAGATAGAATGGCATGGCAGGCCGCATCTGGCCCCCGGGCTGCATTTTGCCCATCCCTGCAGTAGATCCTCAGCATAGGTCAATCCTTGTTCAGATCAATAGGATCCTACCCTCTTTTTACAGTTCCCCGCCCTCCCAAATTGTGCTGTAGCCTTGCACAGCAGAGAGTCCACTCCTGGTTTGCAAACATAGGTTCCCACCTCCTCTCATGGAGGTCAAGGGAAAGCCTTCCTTTGACTTCAGTGATGTAGGCTTACGCTACACTGTATGATTCTGCCCTGCACGACCAAATCACATTTATGCTGCCATGTTGTAATCGAGCCATCTGAAACTAATGGAAAGCATAGACCCAGACCACAGACCATCTCCCCGCAACAAGACAGTATTGTGAGCCTTGGCTATGAAATAGTAAGAATTTAATAATCTCAAAAAGTGGATAATGTGATAGTAATGTGCTGTGAATTCTGAGACGAAGAAGAGATTATTATGCATGATTTAAAAGCTAACTGTGAGGCATGAAAAATCTGTGTCCAGGATTCATTTCTTTAAGTTTGAGAGAGTATAAACAGATGTAGGTTATGCATCACATAAGAGCCAGGAAACTACATTTTCTGATGATTTATCTTGGGTTGATCTTATGGTTTCTGTATTTTACATGAAATTAATTCACTTCCAGTAACAATGATTTTAATAGTTTATTATGAAGCCACAGAATAAATATGTGAAGTGAAACCACCAGCTTTTCTGCACAACATCGCCATATGAAAACCAAATGGGGAGACCAGGGAAAATCATTACTTAAAGGCATACTACCCCTTTCTTCTGTTTTCTATTTTATTTTATATATAAGTTCTTATACCACCTTCACAACTACAGTAACTAAGTGCCTTCTTGTGGTACAATAAGCAACATGGCTAATATCTTTCCAAAATATTTTTCTGGGTAGCAAAAACCAAACAGGGAAGCTTAGTAAATGAACAGACACAACTTAGAAGTATCCCCTATTTCTGGTGTAAGCCTATTTTATTTTACAGTTGTCTTTTTTGTTTGAACCTGGCGAGCTTTTAAAATTTAAGCGTGAGTTTAACATTAACTAGACAAGTTGTCTTCTAACTTCCGAATCGGTGTGATTCTTTAAAAGTCTTGCATAAATCCAAATGAATGGGTATATAGCGGCAAATGGTTGTGTTTTTAAAATGATCTGGTTTCTCATTGTGTGATATTCTGATAGTAACATGGGTAAAGAAATGTGTTTAGTTTGCAGCATAGGGGGCCAGATCTTCAGCAGGTCTCCGCATAATTCTGCCAGCCTTGACCAAGCTGTGCTGATTTAAGCTAATTGAGGATATGGGCAATTAGAAGTTTATTGGACAATGTTTTACATGGGGGCTGAACTTTCAGTAATGCTGTGATAAACCCATAAGCGTCGCAGCCGGTCTGCCTTTCCAGAGCTTTCCCCCTCCAATTAGAAACTGATACAAATTTTTGTAACCAAAAACTGGAATTCTCTGACAAAATCATATGCCTTCAGCAGCAGCTGGGGTTTTAGGGCAAGTAGCAAATATTTGCAAAAGTTTTGCAAAAAACTGTGAGAACTTGCACCATTTTAAAATCTGTGTAGCCTAAATAGAGTCAGAAACGGACACGTCGCTTTTGGTTCAAACATAAGAAACTAGTTCCAGCGTCCGCTGTTTTCTTTTGTGACTTGTTTGGATTTAGTGAACACAGAGACTGGTGCAGATGGATTGATATATTTATTAACTTGTTGGGCCAGCCCTAATGCTGGGCTATTTACAGTCAAATGAAAACTTTCTCATGCACTTTAAGCTGGAGGAACTTTCAGTTTCCCAGAAACAGGTACAAGCACCACAGGCATTTTTAATCAAAGCGAGCACGCAACTGCAAAACGTTTTCTTTTTCTTTTTCTTTTTTTGCTGTTTTTTTTCTAGAAGCCAAAAATTGCATCCTTTCTTCTTAATGATCATAAAAAATAAATCTTCTTGGCTGGTTTGCCCAGAAATAAATTAGAAAACATCGAAAAAGTTGTGGTCTTCCCAAAAATAACATCCTTTTGAAAGTTACAAGTTGTAGCTGTTGTAAGCTTCCAAGATATTATTTGTTTTCCCCGTAACATCCTTTCCATATGTTGTCTAATTATGTCGACTGTCATTAGACAGTCAAATAGGCAGAAATTGTATAGGACATTAAGAACTTTTATGTGATGTTCCATAAATGTTGTATAAAGAAGATTCATGTATAAACATAAGGGTGTCTTCAAGCTAATGTTGAGAGGAGTTTATGGGCTTACTTCCATGTTTTGCCCCGGTGGGAATGCTTTTATTGTCTCGTAAATTATATTTCTGCTTCACATACAGTCCACTAAATCATTCTTGAAGTAAAAAAATGCTAGGGAAGGGCTTGGAAGAGTTGGTGGAAGGGTAGCAACTTCATTGTGTATACAGAGAAAAAGTTGCACCTTGCATTATGCAAACACCATGGGGAGAGGAGTACATGGGTTTGCCTTAACCTGCAAACAAAGTCAGGCCGTAGCTGCCTTGCTCATGTGGATAATCCCATTGAAGTGAATCAGATCATCAAAGATTTGCACAGGGATCATTTCTTACAGAGCTGTGCAATCCCTGCCTCTTTGTGTGAGGTGCTGGGGACCCCTAAATACTCAGCACCTCCTTGATATGAAGCCTCTTTGCATATGTAAGTCAGTCTCAGTGGCTTAAATGGACCCAGTGAGTGCATGTAAATTTATGCATGTGCCGAAGCTTTTGCAGAATCGGGTCCACAGCATGAAAGATGGCATCAAACTTTTGAAAGCCTATGGTTAAGAAAAGTCCTTCTGTGGTCAATACATATGGCGTTTACTCGAGTGCTAGAGGAAAGCAAAGCCAGCCTGCCTGTGCTATGCCCTGTTACCACCGGGTATATACTTGAGGGTAGTCCTTGGGCACTCTTGTAAGTCACCAGTTCCATTTGTTTTAGGTAACACATATACTGCTCAAGTAATCAGTCTGGTACTGAAGAATTGGCCCTGCTGTATAGCAGATACCTGCCCTTGACCGGAGCCTCTAGGTGTTGCTACAGCTTCTGCCATTAATCATTTGCAAGGCATAGCATCATTGAGCTATTGTGTATTTATGTTTTGCAGAGCTTGGACCTGGATGACCATAGTGAACCAGAGCCGAGAAAAATTTCTAATTCCACCGTCATTGAAAATGGACATCAGTCTTCAGTTGGTAAGAAAGAAATGCAGGAAAGACAAATAAGTTGCAAGACCAGCCTCCCCGGCAAACTACAGCTGCATGTAAAGTCGGGTTCTGGCAGTACGAGCAACTTCCTGGTGTTGCAAGCGTTAGCTTCATACTTTTTCAACATGATTATTGTACCGTGCTGATGATCTTGCAGACCTTTAGGCGTGTGCTTCGTTTTTCTACTTACCAAGTCCCACTGACTTGGTAAGCTTGTTCCTAAGTGTAGGATCTGGGCCTAAATCGTAGCATCATCAGTGCAGTTTCCAGTTATTCTGAATAAGATTTAGTAATCTGGGTGCCTTTCTGTCCATACCTTTTAAAGAATTCTGCATGCTACTAATTAACTCTCCCTTCCCTTCTGGGGAACCAGTCTTATTATCTCCATGTTACACAAGAGGAAAGCAAAGCAGAGAGCTTTTAAGTGAACAAAAAAAAAAAAGAACAAAGGAGTCCTGAGACTTGGTCCCCAGCAGCAGATGTAGTGGCAGCAGGCACAGCAGCTCCAAAATGAAACATAGTACACCGTCATATAGGACAAGGCATCATCATGACTTTTACAAAGCTCGATTTCAGCATGCTCGGTCTCCTGAGAATGACATGGTATGGTTAAAGGGGAAATTAATCTAGTTAATCCAGTGTTTCAGAAACCAAAATGAAATGAAGCCACTGTGCCTAGGGAATTGTTTTGAATTTTAAAAATAGCTGAAAATAAAATAATTTTCCTCCTGTTTCTTTTTATTCCCTAGGTCAGGCAAAGGTTTCACATGAAGTGATCTCTTCTCTTCCCATGTCAAACTCTTCCTCTGAAGCGCATGCCCCTGCTGTGTCCTTACAAATGCCACACCTTCCTGTGACTGCAGTGACAAGAGTGTCAGAAAAGTTTTCTGGAGAAACCTCCTCATCATCAGGGACAGCCAATGCATCCAGTGGCCTGATAGGACAGAGCAGGAGCAAAAATGAGACTGTGATGAAAACGTCCAGCCAATCGGGTAAGAGAGAAATTTCTAGCTATGAAAGAAATTTGTTCACTGAAGCTAGGTCTGATATTTTTATAAAGTAAAAATCATCATTTGATTCATCTTCTAGCTGTTTGGTGTTGAATGCTTTTGTGAAGAGCAATTCATGCAAGCTTAGTAGCTGCAGGATTTATAACCTAACTTATTTAAACATAAATTTCACGCTTCAGGGGCTATTGCTCTCAGTAGTGTTGGAGCCTGATCCAAAGCCTATTAAAGTCCATGAGAATCCTCTCATTGAGTCCAGTAGTTCTGGGATCAGACTCATAGAGTTTTATTCACAGTGTCCCCATGAGGAACCCATTACAGATGAGGAAATGGAGGTAAAGAAATTTCAGGTGACCTAACCAGCATAACAAAGGGGACCAGGCAAGGAAATAGAGACAGAAATTGGACAAAGGAGTTCTGACAAGCTGGTAAAAAAAAACCAAAAACTTTTTTTTTTTGCTGGCAAGTGAATGCTTGGTATTTGAACCAAAATTATTTTGGTACTCAGCTGAAATTCTTCAGTTTCTAACCAGTATTTTTGCATTTTTAATTTACTTGGATCTCTGAGATCAAAATCTCATGTTCATTTTAGAACATCACGGGCTCAGTTCTCCAATTGCACCAGTTTCACGCTGATGGAACTGCTCTGAGTTCAGTAGCGCTGTTCTTGTTTGTGAAAGGGGAGTTCTGCCCCATTACCAACATGAAAGAGAAGCTGTTTGCATGTGAATCAGCCATTGTTTCTTGGGGTTTCCCTTGTGTTAAAACAAAGAAATTAGCCCACATCGTCTCTTTTTTCCTTTTCAGTGAGTGGTGTGAAGACCTGGAATTCCAGTTCGGTGAGAACAGTGGGCACATCTGTAACTGCAGGTGGGTGCTATTTCCCTACCTTCCTTGTAGCCCTATCCAAAATGGGTTACTATGCAAGGATGCTGTTTGTGAGTTTGGCTCTGGGGTTTTGATCTGGGCTCCTCTCTCCACAAACCAGCTTAAATTGAACAGTTGGTTTGGGTCATGAGTACATAGCAATGCTGAGAATGTAACAAGGCATCATGAAGATGTCTGATGCAGCTCCATTGAAGTCAAGGGAAGGCTTTCCAGTGACTCCACTGGGATTTGGATCACACTTTAGATGAGTTCATAGCAGAGGCTGTAGACAGATGTAGGTTTCAGCCACTTTAAAAGGGGAGGAAGGGTTGGCCCTCTGGAGTGCTCATCAGCTGTGGCAAAGTAACTGTTAGGTCTGTATGTCCCTAAAGCAGTGTAAGAGAATTAAAATGCTGTAACTATAACCCAGAAAGGAACAGATTTAAAGTTATATCAGTTTTGTTCCACTTATGCCATACCAGTATAACTGTTATGTCGTCCATGCCCTTGCCCATTCAGCTTCTTTGCAAACTTCTGGGATGTTCCATTCAAGCAACGGAAAGAAAAGAAAACAGGTTATTTTGAATTACTCACAGTGCCATCTTTCATTACGATCAACACACCCTGTAATCAGCCTCCCACAAGGGAATTTCTCTTTGGACCCTAAAGCTAGCACTGAGGTCCTGGTGTTACTGGATCTGATGCATCTTGTACAATATGGTGAAAGGGGGGCAAACATGACTTTCTGTTGGGCAGCACAGGCAGACCACAGTGGTGGGGCACATGGGAAAGAGAAGGGCTGTGTGGTGCTCCAGTCCCTTCAGTTGGTGACTTTGCAACCGTTGGAGTCTGGGCTGCTTTTGTGGGGCTGAAATGGTTCCTGGCAGAAACTAAATAGCCCACAAAGCAGCTCTGAATCTCACCATATGACTAGGGCTGCATATGACTTGCCAGGAAGAGTGTAGCAAGCTGTGCTTTAGCTTTATTTCTTCTTGCACTGCCATGCTCCTGGCTCCATCTCTAGCATACTGTACTTCTTCGTTTGCGCCTTGTTGAGGAGCCAGGATGAATCTGCCTGGAGAGACAGTGTCTGCACCAAGGGGCTTGTCCCAAGGCTTTCTGAGGAATGTTTTAGCTCTTCAACACCACTGCAGTGGGACAGATCCCTCCCCAAGAGCCTGCTAGCTCATGCTGGCAGAATAACCTGCAACTTGTCCCTGTGGTGAGGAAGAATAAGTGTGTGGCCATGTGTCAGGAAGTTGATTAAAAACATATGGTGGGAAAAACACTCAGCACCGATGCATCTCATTTTTATTGCTGTTTACAGCAGAGAAAAGCACTTCTGTCACAAAGTCTGTGTCAGCTATGAGCTACGGAATGACTAGTGGAACCAAAGCTACTGAAAGGTAGGCCTTTCCTTGATTTTTATTACACTAACAAGTGTGTTCACTATACCTTAAATACAGAGACCAGATGAGTCCTAATGGGTCCAGTCCAGGTGTGTAGAAGGGGCTTGAGATGCCCCATTTGAGGTGCAGGGAAGTGGGGAATGGATACGGTTTGTAGGTCGGTGGCTAAGGAACAGTCAAGCTGAAGATGGTGGTTAAACTGAGGTTTATGTCTGTTGTCATGAAAGCCAACATGACAGTATTTGGAGCTGGTTGGGAATACTGTCTGGTTACCGAGCTGTCATCACAGGGGGAGGGGGAGGGTGGCTTTGTGGTTCAGGTGCTAAGTGGAAACATAAGTGATGTAGGTGGTTTAACTTCTGGCCCTGCTACTGCCTGCTTACATGACTGAGAAAAAGTCCTCCATTTGCTTTGCACATCCATTTTCCTCCTGTAAAAGAAGAACCACTACCTCCCTGCCTTGTAGGAGTCTTGGGAGCATGGGCGACTGGTGCCTCCTGAGTCTGGGTGGGCACCAGATCGCCAACGGGGGGGACACCCCAGCAGCCAATCGTCAAGCCAGCGACAAGACCAGAAGGGCACTTCCAGTTTTGCGGCTGGTGCTTCCAGGGGGTGCATGACCAATGTCAGGGGGTGCACATGCACCCGCGTGCACCCCCTACGCATTGCCAGTACTCGGGAGGATAAATCCATTAATAGTTGAGGTGCTCACTTACTGACTGGATGGGAGTTACATGAGCTAGGCCGATAACTTTAATAACCCCTGATCTAGCTGAATACTCCATCCAGTATGGGACTGTTGATTGCAGTGTACTCTGTTGTGCTTTGACAAGTGACATATGACTCCAGTAACAGGGTATTCTGCAGCCCCATGCTACCAGAACATGGAAGTGCCTGCATACAGCGAGCTGAGAACCATGCTATCTCCTAGCTCAGCCCTGATCTCTGTGAATGAGCATGTTTGGGATATACAATGCCTGTTTTTTCAAATTGTCCTTTAATGGACATGCTGGGCCCTTTGTCAGCTCCTTTTAAAGTACTCAGCTGTGTTGAAGTTTTTATTTTGGGTCTGTTTTTGGAAACTGCACACATGACCCATCAAACATTCTTATTTTGATTGGCTTGGAGCTTAGCTCCCAGCGTTAGGTTTCCAAGCGCCTTGCAGGACACAGGCTGACTTTCTGCCCTCCTCGGGAAGGCTGACTACCACACATTTTTGATTAATTCAAAGGCACAGTTGTTTAGTGTAGGATTACGTGGTATCACCATTGCTGTTGGGGATATCAAGGCATCCTCAGCATGCAGAATATTTAGCAATACAAATGGAAGGGCAGGCAACTTCAGTTTCCTTAACTGGGCTTGCATCTGCCTCCCAAATTAGCCTAACCTGGGTGTTAAACTTCTGATGGGCTGCTAGGTAAAGGTGCTGCACCAGCTGTTTGTCATTTGAGTGACAGAAGGATGTTCATTTTGGGAGACAGGATTCTCTTCCCAGCTGTTTGTAAATTATTATGTGACCATGAGTCATCCACTTCATCCCACTGTCCCTCAGCTTTCCTAAGGCTCCTAATGCCCAGATTTGTCAAGGTATTAGGTATTCCTTTGCTCTGTGCTGCAAGGTCTTAGTGATTTAGACAGCTAGCCCAATTATCAAACGTGCCTTGGGTTCCTTAGTCCTATTGACTCAGTGAAACTTAAGCTCCTAAATGCTTAGGTCAGTTGTGAAAATGGGATTGGGGTTCCTTTGAAAATATCCCCCTGTATGCATAAATATCTGGAGTTCTGCTGGAGCTGATGTTAGTGCTGCATCAGGATACCCCGCGCCCCAGAGAATTCCTCTTTTAACAGATTAATTTTGCATTCTCGTGATTTTTTTCTGCAGTGTCACCGACAGTTACAGTGATGTAACCCCCAAATCCCACTCCCCTCCACCTACTGTGCACCGCCAAGTGGAAAGGAGGAGAGAGCTTGTGAGGTCGCAGACACTGCCACGGACTTTGGGGACGCAGTCCAGGAAAGCTCTCTTTGAGAAATTTGAACAGGACAGTGGCAAGTATGTCATTCCTTAGGCAGTATTGCATCCAGAGTGGGCTCAGTAATGGGAAAAAAAATCTGTTCGCTGATTATAGTGGAGGTTGCCTAGCTGACGATATCTCTCAAGGTTTGAATGGCTGGAAATCTTGGGCTTGATCCAGCGCTCGCGAAGTCACTGGTGGAATTTGTATTTATTCTAGTGAGTGTTAGATCAAGCCCTTGGTAAGCAATTCATAATGAGCTTGAAGATCCAATAATATTGCATAATCAACCTGGAAAAGGAAGAAGCCAGGAAATACAGAGCTGTAGCTACAGGCTGCCTTTGCTGTTGTCTAGTCACTCTACTGGCCCAGCAGGTGCCCATTCTTTAGACGGGGATATTATAAAAATTTTCCTCTGCATGGCTGCTTACTAAGGCTTATGAGAGGAAACTGAAAATACCATGGCTGTGCTTTACAGATGTGGTCCTGGCTTTAAAATGTTTATAATCCAAATAGAAGATACAGGTGAAATCCTGGTCTTACAGAAAAACCAAGATTTCCTGC